CTCTCTCAAAGACGCTGCCGTTAATTCCCTTTCCGCTGCTCGTCAGACCACGTCACGACTTTCGGCGAATATCTACAGAGATATCAAAGGCCTCACTTCGTCCGAGCTGGAGCAAGTTATGCTCAAGGCAACTCGTCCAGATGATTCTCCGGTCAAGGGAAAGCATGTGGAGCGATTGGTGGGGGTCACATACCAAATATCGGGACGTTACGATATCTATGATGCAGTGCTGCGCAAGCTTTGGGCCAAAATGGCAGAAAAGGAATGGCGCACCACCATCAAGGCGCTCTACATTCTACACCGTTTCAGTGCCGATGGCGCACCCGAACACCAAGCTGCCCTGAAGGCGCGCCTTCGGGAACTCAGGCGGACGCGGGATCCGAAGCGAAAGGACAAGTTCTTCAACTCGAAGCAACTCTTGGCTGGTGAAACCACTGTGAGTTGAAAATCGAATGCTGCCGTGTGTTGATATCTTTCGTCTTTCTTCTCTTTAGCACTCACATTGTGCACCTCTACAGCCTGAGAATATGAAGTTCCGTGCTTTCATGTCTAGATATGCACATTACGTTCTCCTTCGCGTTCAATGTTTCGGGGGTGTGTTTGACGAAATCTCCACCGAGCCGAAGGCTGCCAAGAAGAGTCCCAAGCCAATCACATCCACGGCTCTGCGTGTGGAGCACTTGGAAGCAGCCCAGTTGGTTCTCAAGGCCGGAATCGCCTGTATCCTCAAGGATGGTGAAGAATGTGAAAACACAGCTATTGCTGTCGAACGAGTTGCGTGTGATATGATTGGTCTTTCAACCGCTGTCGCTGTGGCCTTGAATCGTGTCCTGAAGGATGACGATTGGAAAGGAGCCGATGTGGCGCTCATCAAGAGGTGGTGTGAGTTCTATGCGGAGGAGTTGCTGCCACAAGCAAGGTTGATGGTTAAGAAGACGTCGCCGATGCTGGACGCCTTTGGACTCTTCTTGCCGTCACGAATGGGAACAACCGTCTCCCCCGAATTGCTTCAAAAGGGTCTCAAGGCTGTTGTTGATGAGGATGCTAGCACGACTGCTGAAAGTAACGAAGTCGACGACGAGGCGGTGGAGGCTAAAACTGCTGAAGATGGGGTAGAGAAAGATGAAGACGAGAAGGAGGAATCTGAAGAAGAGGTTGCCGGTGTTGCCAAAGAGGATGAAGCGGTCGAGGAAGTTGAAGAAGAAGACGAGGAATGGGACTACGAGGAAGAAGAATACTACGATGACGAAGAGGAATAAGCTTGAATTATAGTGGTTGTGTTTCTATTCCCTAGGTCTCCATGTTCTTGCATCCTTCCATAAATGCGGGAACATAATCAAGACTGCTGATTCCTTGACACACGACGATTGATCCCGTTTTGTATTTTAATGTGTAACCTGTGTCCCATGAGCTAGTGACATTCGCAGCTGGGTCGACGTCGTCAAGCATGGCAGAGTGTAGAGCTACCGGTAGTCGGAGGGTGACATCATACGAAACCTATCGAGTGTTAGGTTTTTCCTTTTTTCAGCAAAAACTGGAGTACCAGAGTCACCGTACTCTACCGGCATTCCGTATTCCGAATATGACGAATGATCAAATTTTATTACATACTCCGGACTCCGGAGTAGTAGTACTCAACACAGTACTACGGTAGATAGTATGCTCCGGACTCCACAGCACCTGGTACTCGTACCAGGTACTTGTACCACATGTTTGTACGTATAGGTTGTTTGTTGACAAAGCAATTGTGTATTGTGTACATGTGTGTACATGTAGCGGGTAGTATCTGAACATATTGTCATGGGTTTTGTGAGACATTTTACTCGCGAGTACGAACCAAAGCATTTATCTGCATTTTTGAGATTCGAAGGGGAAGTTGCAGCAGTCACTGATGATCGTCGCACCTTTATTCATCGTTCTCGCCATGACTACCGGTAGTAAAACCATTTATTTGATACGCCACGCCGAGAGCAAGGAAAACAGAAGAATGCAAGGCCTAAAGAATGTGGGCCGATCTTTGAGGAGTGGCAAACCCCCTGCTTTGGTGGATGTGTACAACGGATGCAAGTTCATGGGAATGACTGCATTGGGATTGACAAACTCAGTACTTTCAAGGAACGGGATGGATCAGGTGTGAATACATGTTGAAAATGGCTTTAGTTAGACGGTCCGTTCTCCTCTCACTTCTGTCCCAGATTGATAACATGCAGAAGATTCTTTTGGATGTGGGTTTTACAGAGCAGCTATCTATGGTTGCACACTCTCCGCTGATTCGAGCAAAAGACACATGTTTCGGAATCTTGGATCTCTCAAGCAACAATGCCCCATCCGTTGTCGAGCTTCACTGTCTTTGTGAAGTAACTCCGTGGGAAATGCTCATACCGGGGAAGCGACCCGTTCGCAATCGCATCAAAATACTGGAAGAATGGATCACTGCACAAACGGCCGAAAGTATTGCACTTATTGGTCATTCCGAATACTTCTCGGTGATGCTTGGCCTTGATGAAAAGTTCCAGAATTGCGATGTGTGGAAAGTATCTTATGAAAACGGTCGATGGACAGATTTACGGCTTGCTCATAGGCTCAGTGCCATCACCAGCAATGTGGATGTACACACGCGTTTTACGAGTTGACTAGGCAAAACACGCAGATGTTGTTGAGACAGAATAAGGAGGCTGCGCAACATTCTGCAGGGACTGAAGGTCACCAAACGGCATGAATGACACCTTAGCCCGGACTTCGTTGTTGGTCAGTTCAGGGCAACTACACAGCAGATAATGCGCTTCTGGGTGTCCCCTCATACGACTGTGATGCGAAATTTCACACAATAGGATGTCTTCCATCTTTCTAGACTTTTTGGAGACCAAGAACGAAGCACGGGCGCGGAAAAACCACGTGGGTGGGTGACAGGTTTAGGCCGATTCTGCTGTCTCGTGCGTGTATCCTCTGTTCCTTATTATGTGGAATGAAGCCTATAAGCTGTTGTGCATTTCATCTTAGCTTTAGCAGGTGTGCTCTTCGTCTAGGGTCAGTTATGAACTGAATGTTCTTGTGGGACTCCGACAATTGACTACGGGTGAACTATGCTTACTGTACCTGGTGACCGCTGCAGTACTGTTGAACAGCATGAACCGTACTACAGTACATTACCCCTCTAGTCCGGGTATGTTCATACTTGGTGTAGACAACGGTACAACGTACAACAGTATGAATCCATGTGTATTGGAATCATATCCGTGATCCGTGTTACGACACTGCGTCAACGCGCACTGTCACAACTGTGCCGATGCGGAAGATCGCCAGAAAAAGGGTCACGAAGATTTGACTGAATCATCAATCATCCATCATGCGGCTGGTGATGTACGTATTGGCAAATCAACTCTTGTTATTGTGTTTGAGGACAACCCCATCGCGAGCGTTCAAGCCATCTTTTAAGGGACACTCATCAAGAGTACTTCGCACGATGTCGTCAGATGCGGCTGGATTGACAGATATTGGCGGAATCGCCGAGGTTGAGCACACTGGCGAAGCAAACGCAGAAATATCTTGGAAGGCTCGAATCGATACTAGTATCGCTCGATCGCGCAAGATTCGAGGTTCGAACTTTGTTCAAATTTCCACTGTATCGAATGGTGAACCAAGATGCAGAACCGTCGTTTTTCGTGGTTTTCAGAGGGTTCCTTCTGAACATCCGATAGCAATAGAGTGTGATGGAATGTCGTGTGTGATGAAAATGATTACAGACAATCGATCGAATAAAGTGTCTGAAGCGGCTGCTCAACCCTTTGCAGAAATTGTTTGGTGGTTTTCCAAGACTAGTGAACAGTATAGGATACGAGGGGACCTCTGTTTCGCGGGCGGAGGAGATTTTGATTCAGACGTGGACAAGGTGCTAGCAGCTGCTCGAAAGGAACAATGGGGAAACTTGAGCGATCCTGCGCGAGAGCAGTTCTTTTGGAAGGAACCTGGTACCGATTATAGTGGCGAGTCAATTGTTCCGCTTGGCGGTCGAGACGGCGAAGGCAATTTGTTGGAGGCGCCTCAATCATTTCTCCTCATGTTTTTGCGTCCGAAACGAGTTGAATATCTACGACTTGGCGACAACTTTCGTCAGATTGACAAGCTTATCGATAATCAATGGATGAAGAGGAGAGTTAATCCTTAGATTCTATCTCCACGATTCTATCTGGTCAGCTCAAAAATGTGGATAATCCCTGTCTCCTTGACATTAGAATGTGGTACAACTTCAGGTAGCTCGTCGCTCATTCCTTGGGGCACGATAACGTTCGCAAGATGCGTTTTCTTGAAACCTCTCTCCAATGCACGAGTGTAAAATTCGTCAAGGTGAAGACGCGTCGATTGTGTTGCAAAGATGCACTTGACCTTCGAACTCCACAGGGTTTCCAGGGTTGCAAGCAGTGGATCGAAAAGGTTCTTTCGATACACTATGTCTGCTCCAACAACTAAGATTTCCCTAGCGCAAGCGATTCGCTCCTTGATTGATGTAGGTAGAGGTTCCCCCCATGCAAGTTCTTCGACAGCAACATTCAGAGTCGGATTCAAATTCACATTTTCCTTCATCAATCCCAGGGCATCCTGGAGATCTGTCACCACAATGTTACTGTACCCACTTGCTGCCATACCAAGACCAACTACCCCAGTCCCTGAACCTAGATCAACTACTAACGCGTCCCTTGAAAATCCTTCGTGTCTCCTGAAATAATCAACAAGACCTAGTCCTCCGTCCCATACACAGCTGTAGATTCCCCATCGGTCATCATCGCTCCCATATTGAGCAATCTGAATATGTTGGTTTGGGGCGACTCGTACCTTTAGCAACGGAGTCTCTTCTCTCACCCATAGCTCGACAACGTTGTCCTCATCGTTCGCCATGCTTTGTTGTACTGGATACGTTACGGTGGATTTTGGCTTTCGATCAATTCTGAGTGATTTCATAGTTTGATGACACCTTCATGAGCATGCGCGCAACATGAAAACAATCCGACATAGTATAGTGGCTAGTATCCCCGCCTGTCACGCGGGAGACCGGGGTTCGATTCCCCGTGTCGGAGCTTCTTTTGGATGATGGGATGATGAGAGTTGAGAGTCCTCTGAATCTGAAAAGTACGTAATTTTGAATGTTTGCACAGTGTCTCCCCTCTACTCTTACTACAGTTCTACGTTCCTACTGGAGTACAAGCCTACCGTAGGAACCTTGTACAGTAGCGCACCGGGAACACGTATCATGTATCATACATACGTCTTCTACCGGTACGAGTAGCTACCGGTAGGATGTACTCCAGTAGTAGGTAATGCGCGCTACCTGCCTCGTTTTGTTAAATTGTATATATATGTGAAGCTATCTGTGATGGGTGATGGCTGATGGGCCATGATGGGTGATGGGTGATGGGTGATGGCACAACTCAACTCAACACAACGTTGTTCTTCCTCAGTTACTCGTACCAGGTACCATATCGGTATGATTTCTTCATCTAGCAATGGTACTTGGTGGACTCCGGTTGACACCGACGGACGACAACTCTAACAACTCTAGGATAGTGACATAAAGTGGCGATTGTTCCTTCTAGATAAAAGCTGTGGTGCACCTTTACGCGACTGTGACACCGAAGGAGGCGAGGAAGGTCTCGTAGCTCTTTCCGTCCCGTAGTCGCGTCGGAAGCTGGTTAGTACACCTAGACCTAAGTCAAGCATCTGTATAGAAGCAGGGATCAGCGGCATTTTGCCCGTAAGGCGAATTTTACAGCTTTCTAAGCGTTAATTTTCTACCAAGGCAAGCGGATACTGGAACCGTGCACAAATCTTCACGAATATGACATGCCAGGTCAAAGTTCTGACCGCCTCTTGGTCGTCATTGACCACGAAGCCTCTGGATCGCCTCCGCCACATCCACAGCAAGCTTCTTTGGCACTATTACTGTTCTTGTCCGTTGCCAGGCATTCTTGTTTCGTAGCTTTACCGTAGTCACTACAGGTGTAATCCTCCTCGTCGAGAAAGACATGATCCACGCAAAGCTTACCCGTTTGGGCGTTGTCGTCTTGAAACCAGCACGGATCGGACGGGCGAAGATGACTAATAGCACCCTCGCCCTTGTTTTCCTCCAACCAGTCTGGAGAATGTGCAAGTCGACAAAGGCATTTAATAGATGCCTCAATCATCGGTCTTGCTTCTGCCGCAATAGCCAAATTCTTGAGCGCTCCCGCAGCCGCCCAAGCGACAATAGAGGACGCTTCGTCGTGAGTCCCGACGATTGCATTTTCACCCACGAAAGGGTTATCGGAGGTCATTTCCCCTCCAACCGGCCCACGGCATGCCAAACCAATCAGACTGCGAACTAACTCCTGGTCGCCGAGCATTTCCTGCCGAACTGCTTCACCGTCAGAATTCATCGTGTACTTGTTCGAGTACAGTTCAAAAGAAAACTCGCCGTTGCTCTTGCGCCACTTCCAGTAGCACCGACCATCGCCTTCTGTATCACAGTAGCTGGCGGCGAGATTTTGCAAGGCAGCTGCGGCCCACATGATTTGAACTTGCGAGGCTTTTGAGTTCTTCACTACAGCAGCCAACTTCTTAACTGCACCAGCATTGATGAAGCCTTGATGGTTCACACCGTTTGCAAAGGTTGCGATGTAAATGAGGTGGCTGGCCATTGCCGACGTGTGAGTGTTCTTGGAAGATACAAGCTTCACAATCGACGAATGAATTCCATTGTATTCACTCAAACGAGATCTTTGCTTATGGTTGTTGGTGACACAGAATGTAGCGTACTCGCACGCCAACCCCAGGAGGCGTGCCGTGGACGAAGATGAGGAAATCACGGCCAGTGCGTCTTGAAGGGATTCACAGGCTCCATCATTCTGCCTCTTCTTTGTATGTTTGGTGGCATCCCAACGCATCAAACGCAAGTCGTCGCCTCGCAAATCATCAATCAGTCCTTCCAAATCTTTAGTGGTCAAGGTGACGACATCCAGTGAACCGGACGTGATCGTCATCAAGAGGATGACGCAGATGACGGCAAAGAAGTGTGGCCATGATGCACAATTTACGGGGTACAGGTAGCTGGCGGTATCTTGATTTGGACGAGCGATGGTCGTGGTTGCCGTCACTTCCCATGGTGCATAGATGCGTATGACAGAGCATTGGACTCAGAGGTCCGAGTTGCTCATGTGTGTTCTCATCTCAGTAAAGATCACTACTGTACTCACTGTATGTACGGTGCGCGCACGACTAACGTTTGCAAGACAAAACAGTACTGAAGTAGACTCTACTACCGGTAGTAGAGAGAGAGAGCAATAAAAAACACAAGAGCACTCACCCTGTTAAAAAAGTACCAGGTACCAATATGCATGTAACAGTACATACACTGTTCAGTGGAACATAGTCTACTGCATACGAAGGACGAAGGACCATCAACGGAAAAACCAACGCCGAGCATCGAGCTTTCACATTGTCAAAAATGACTCTGACATTTGACTTCATCCGCTAATTGTGTCACTGGTCGTCATTGGTCAAAATCTCACCCCAGGTGCTTCAGTCTTCAGTACTAAGAAGCTTATTCTGGTACCCAACTTCATAGTCCAGTGCTGTACATGGTACTGTAGAACTCTGTAGCGTAATAGCTTCTCAGCCTTCAACCACTTGCAAACCACATCCACTCATCACCCATCCTCCTATCGTGTTGCCATCTTCACAGCATTGTAGATTGGAGATCATGTCTGATAGTTCCTACGTTGCCGTCACAAAACATCGCAGGCCCCTTTGATACATCTGGTCGGCCACCAGTTCTGGAGTTGATTGACGACGACTGGGCTGCGGACACTCTGGAGGATGAAGACTTGCCGACCAAGGCGTTCGAAGTGCCGCTGATGGAAGAGGACGACCTGGACGGAGATCAGGCAGTCGTAACGACAGGGACGTCGTCGTCGGCTGTCACCAATCTAGAAGAGAGACGACGGAGAGATGAGGGCTGGAACGATTTGGGGTTGGATCAACTTGATCAACGACCAGAAGGAGGAGCACACAGCGCAACGAATCAAGGCAATTCTCATTAGTCATTAGCTACCGGTAGCTTTACTGTATACCTCGAAGGCGTACAAGAGTGGTTTACCACAAACTTGCATACCGCTTTCATTTATCGTCGGCGCCAATGAGGTCCCTGAAAAAATCTCGATATTCAATTCCGCCTTCTTTCAGAATGGGCACGTGCTCCTTAGTCAAATGAATGACCACGTCCGACTCTACTTCAGCAGGCATTCTGATGAGATCATCATCAGAAAGCTCAATGTCAGGCAGGTGGGCGATCCCTTTGGATTCGAAGAAGTCTGTTACTTGCTGCGGGATTGCCTGGCACGCTTCGGACGTGAACGCTTGAGAATCTTTGGAGTGCTCATTAAATGCCACAAAATGTGCGATGTCTCGAACGTTTCTCATTTCACGGCCGTGGTCGATGAATCGCATATTGAAGAAGTCACCATCGCCAATTCCTACAAATACCACGGACAAGGGAGTGGAAGTCGCTTCGTCCAGTGCTGCAGCAGTATCCTCAATGAATTCCACGTCACGCCCTGTAAAAATGCACAGAATGGTATAGACCTGCTTCTCGAACTTCTCAGCAATTTCAGCATCACGTTCTGCGCGCGCTGCAGCCATTCGAATTACATCCGTAAATACTGTTGGAGAGTTGGCCATCGTGATGCCCGATCGAAATTGGTCTCTGTAGGCCTGCAGCACTCCTTCGATTCCGCGAATGAGGCGACTCGTCCCACACTGGAATACATTGTGAACGTCGTCGTTGTATTTTGCACCGAATCCCCACAGCGCGAAGTGATTGTCAGTATCCAATTGGCCAAGAATACTCAGCATGCCTATCATCGGCTTTTCATAGTCGTTGAAACCACCGGATGGGTCGAGATAATGAAGTGTACCGGGTTTATTGGGGTCGCCATTGGAACCAGAAAAGTCGACGGCAAGCACCACCTTAAAATAACAACCCTTAATCACGTAATCCATGAAATTCGGCCCTTCTTAGCGTTTTCAACCACCACTGATCCTCGTCGGACTCGCAAACCGGCCATCTCTTCCATTGTGTCATTAGCTCCTCTGATATATGCTTGCAGCACGACGAGTTTACCAGTCTTGATTTTGCTCGTCTTGGACTTTATTAAGGTAAGGGATAAGGCGCGACTAGGGTCGTCATTCCCTTCTGTACTCGCATCGATCAGACGGTTGACAGATACCAAAACTTCTCCAATGTTTTCGTTATTGCCGTCCTTCTTGTGATGGAATAAAATAATTTTGATGGGATGGTTAAGATTTCCATCACCCAAGCTGAACGTGTCGATCGCAACTGACGGCCACACAGGATTGGAATTATCCGTGATTTTAGTGCTGCGATACACGAGTTCCCAATCAATAAAACCTTCTCCATTTTCAGTCCGTCGATGAAGCTCATAAAATGGATCTGGTCTCCGCATGAAGCTATAAGCGGAGTCATGTGAGTGTCGGGTGATCCAGGCTGTCCATTTGCCGCGGGCGACTTTCACGCTACTTACCCATCTACGCTTCGCAATTGCAACCCCTTGAGTTTGAGCCTCAACTCGGGCCCGGTCCCCTTTCGAATGCATGCCACCAGCACGCCTCCGCCCTTCAACTTTTTCGCACAACGACAGCCTGGGAAACCTAGAATATGTGCAACATCGAAGGAGGCTGAAGATCTCTGTCGGAACTTTTTCTTCCCTGCCTCCTTTTCGAAGATGTGAACGCAAAACTTCATTGGAGTTCCCAGATTCCACGAAATTTGAAATTTATGTTCCCACCTAGGCGAGCGGTCGTTTGTAACTTCCTCCGTTCTCCCCAGACACTTTGGCTGATCGCCCGGTGTCGTGGCAATTTGAGTTACGACAGCGATGACATCAGACTTGCGGGAAGCTCCTTCAGCAATTGGGAGCGTTATCGCCCGGAGAGAAAGTTCGCATCTCATGGAATCGATCAATTATATCCCTTCTCAAGTACACGTTCGTTCCTGTCTTGCCAAAGTTTGAACAGAATAAGGACC